GGTAAAACCGAAACTTCTAAAAGGTTCGGGACAAAATTGAAACCAATTCCTATGATCATATCAAAAATGATCTTTAGAACATCCAATTTATCGAACTTTACTGAATTCCAAAGATCATTATGTCTGGTCTGTACGAGTTACTGCTATCAGAGTGGAGTGCATTGATCACATGTAATTTCCCATGGTTTCCTTTTGTTACAACTTACGTAGTACTGCATGTGCATCCTTTGTTCTAGGGAACATGAAACATGCATTATTTTGCCCAATAACTATTAACTTATATGATCACCTTGTTGTTCTGTCAGGTCGCTGACACGTGGGACGCGCTTGATGGATGGCTTGATGCAATTAGATTAGTTTACACAATCTATGCTCGAGGCAAGAACGACGTTTTGGCTGGCATCATAGCAGGCTGATTATTACCAAGTACGCAAATGTATCATCAATATTATCTTTATGTCTATATTATGCTTACTCACAGTAGATTTGAGTATCCATTCCTCTAAATTGAAACACAAAATTTTGGAGTACTTTCCAGTGCTTAATACATGTTCTTTTAGTCAGATTTCCTTTCAACCTTAATAATCTATGTACATGTCGCTTGTTAACAGCACGCACAAGTGGTATCGAATTAATTTCATTGAAAAATTCAATTGAATTATTTTGGTAATTTTATCAGTAGATCTTGAAAACAATAGTTTATAATAAAATACACTCGCACACAATATTGTTTCTGGATTGATGATTTAGACCCTGGGAGACAACGAACAAAGGAATAGTATTTCTTTCTTTCTTTTGTGTGTGTGTGTGTAATTAATCTTTGCAACCTGATTATTATTTTTTTTTTCGTTTTTTGATTAAATATAAAATAATTCTTTGATTGGTATTGGTATTTTATGGTGAGTGAAAAGAGTAATTACTGTAACACCCATGATCAGGAGAGGTCAGTACACCAACCACAATGGTGTAAAATAATAATGTTTACAGTTGAAAAAGGAAGCAGCTGGAAAGACTTCCGTGTATTGCTGGTACAACAAAGCTCATGGCGGCTGCCAAACTTGGAAATGGGTAATGGACTTTTGATACGCGCTGACGTGATATCATTGATTTGTACGAGTTTTCTTGATAATTAAATGTCCTAAGTTTAAGATATAGTTGTTTCTCAATATTAGTTATTGTGTGCATATGAGGTATTTTCTTCGTTTTCCCTCAAAATGCTTTATGAGCAGCTTGATGACATTTGTTTAATAAAGTCATTCAAGTTGGTCGGATTGACCTTGTATAATTACAGGGCTTAGTTAAGTAGAGCTGGAACTGGGGTTGCCCAATGCATCATTTCTTTCCACCTTATTAACCTTATTGGCATTAGTAGGTAGGATTGATAGATTTCTCCTCGGTTGTTGATGATAACTGCTTTGATTATAATTGAGTGGCTAGAAAGAATATATAATGCGCTTCATAGTTCAGGACTAAATAGTACATCGGGTTTACTAGGTTCGACCATAGCAGGGTCCAATCGTTCCCAAAAGAAGAGCTTGATCGAGTATCTTTGACGATGCAGAAAGCTTAGAACCTTACTAGATGATTGGCAAATGTTAATGTTATTAGTTAAGATTATTGTTTCCAAATCTGTTATTTTAGAAGAAAAACAAACACATGCGAGAACATACAGAACGTTAATCATCTTTGTGAAGCAGTTATCGGAAGAAGTTTTCATAGGTCGAAATCCGATCGTGGAATAGGAGAGATGTTGGTCCAAAATTCTGTTTGTTTGATAGTTTTTAAGGCTGAAAATGGAGGTGGGGATGAAGTTGAAGATAGAGAAGAAGTTAAGGGAAGACAAAGGGAGGTGTGGTTGCTGGTTGGTTAGATAGGCCATTGGGTTTGCATAGTATCTGTACAGTCAATCAGTAGTAATAGAAGAAAGAGGGAGAAGATGAAGAAGAGAGAGAAAGAGAGTCATTTATGTGGATGTCTCATGTGTTCTATTCTTCTACAGAAACAAGTATTGTTTGACAATGAGTATGTCCTTTGTTTCTATTCCCATTACACTTCACTTTAACTACACGTTGTTTTGCGGAGATTCGAAGTCCGATATTACTCTTATTCATTATCAGCTATGTGAACGTTATGAAAAATTTATCAGTTATGTCAACGTTATGAAAAATTTATAGTGTGAATAGATGTAGTAGATATTATAAGAATATTCCATTTCGTTGGGAATTTAAAGTTCAAACTTATCACTTTCAAAGAATGTTTAAATTATATTATAGTGTTTCCTTTTGTTTTCTTTTGTTTTTTCCTTAATTGTGTTGTAAAAATTTCTATGTAACATTGTTGTAAATTAGCTAGGGGATCGAACTCATAATCTCTTGGTTGAAGGTACATGCTAATTACTGTTGAGCTATGCTCGTTTTTGCGAGAAGTGTTAAATTTTCATTTGTACATTTAAAATAATTTTACAAATTTTTTTGACTTTTGTAATTAATCGGGTAAACTATAATACTTCCACCATATCTATAAATTGAACGAGATCTAAATTTGCCAAAAACGTTAGTGATTAAGGCTTTTGTTCCTTCTATTTTTTATTCTTTCGAAAGTGGTTAAAATTCATCTTAATTGGGTTTTAATTTTTCTGTTTTTCTTTTAATTATCAAGTTGAGCTATTTTTCTACTCGTATAGAATAGAACATGTTGAGTCAAATTTTATACATGTGAAAATAGATAGAAAAATTGTACAATTTTATGAAACCACGTGTTATGACTCGACTTTTTCGAAACTATGTGTTATGACTTGAATTCGTGAGGTCGAGCATATTTTCAACTCCTCGCCTCTAATATAATATTATGATCCACACAAATGACGATTGCAACCCAATAAAAAAAAAGTCATATGGTTAAATAGTATGTAAAAATGCTATTTTTTCTTGTGTGGTGTGAAATTAAATATTTTCCTTTTCAATTATGTTAAAATAAAGGGTGTATTTTGCAAAAATAAAAGTAGAATGACTTTATCACGAGATAAGGTGTCAACGCCAAAGTGAGCAAACATGAAGAGAAGAGTATATTTTATTATTTATCAAATCATGATGTATAGGAAAGTAAAAGTAATTAATCTAAAATTATTTTTTGAAAGGTCCAAAAAGAATATTTGAAATAGTCCCATTGACCAAATGTGTGCTAAGATTCAATTTCACGACTTTTTAGTCGGATATAGGTATCGTAGTTATAGTCAGTTGAGTTATTTCAAGTTAAAAGACAATTTTTTGTTCACTTAAACATAACTCAACTATTCATTAAATTGTACCCCGAATCGAACCTCTCTCATCGACAATGTAATATATACAAAATAATAAAAATTTTAGCGTATATCTCATTTCAATTTAATTTAAGAACTTTGGAGTTTATTATTTTTTAATTGTTCAACTTTAAATTTTATATACTAATATTCAATATAAAAAAATAATTATCTTAATCTTTGGAAGTTTGAAAGTTATTTTTATTTTAACCACTAAATTTTAGAAAGTAATAATTAATAATTATGTGAGGTCTAATAAGGTTACAAATTATTCATGAAGTAAAATTTATAGTGTGAAAATAGGAGATTTTTTCCATTTATACATGCCACACCAGCACGTTAATGACCACATTATCCATGTGTTGAACAATTAAGGATAGAGTACTCCAAAAATATTATTACTATTTTAAAAGGATTACCAAAATGGAATAAACTAAAAAATTCATAAGCTAAACCATACACTTTGAAAATTAAAAGGCCAAAATACCACCATCCTAAAAAATTCCATATTTTTTAAAAGGTTTAAATACTCCTTTAATCCAGAATTTGTTAATTTATTTCATATACTTTTCAAAATGTCCATTTTAATTATTCCTCATTAGTTTATGTATTTTCAAAAGTTCACTTTGGATAATATATTTACAAAAATAACAATTTTATTTCCATTTCTATCTCATTTATTTAAATTAAGCTTTTAGCACGACACTTCACACACTAAATTTAGCCATAGGTTTGTATTAAACAATTTTCATTTGGTATAAAATTTATGTTAAAATATTACAAATCAGAACTGTAATAATCTATTTTTAAAAAGAGAAATCAAAACAGACATTTAAAAAGTGTAACAAACCAAATTTAAAAGAAACTAAAAAAAAAGGGGTTGAAAACTTGAAACTAATAATTTAGAACAAAGAAGATGGCATGAAAGAAACTATTTAGAAAGATTACTTTGGAAATATTTTGGTTGGCATCACCAATGGGCTTGTTTTCAAGAAAATGGCATTGCCTACGTGGGCCTTCGACACGTCATCACCCGCTTAACTCTCGCTTTGCACCCCCCGCCTTCCCCCACATCTCTCTCTTCTCTTCCCTCTCTCTCTCTCCTCCTCCTTTTTCTCTCTCTACCGCTTCTCATGGCGGTCAACGACCCGATATTCCTTCTCCACACCTCCTGACGCCTCCTCCACACTGCTCTTCTACTCTCCACTGGTTTTCCGATCGCCTGTTTTGGTTCTGCCAAGTGTTCGTTAGGGCATGGGCAGGATGGGAGGTAAGCTCAGGTTTTACAGCGCCAATTCTAGCGACTACAAGCTTCTCGAGGAGATTGGTTATGGTGCCAGTGCTACGGTTTTTAGAGCGATCTACACTCCGTCTAATGAAGTTGTGGCCATCAAGTGTTTGGATCTTGATCGCTGCAATAGTAATCTTGTAAGTTACCTGCCCTTTCCTTGTGCTCCTCTTCCTGGTTCTGCTCTGAATTGTTGCCGTTTTGCTTCATTTTGTTTCTGTTGATTGCTTAGTTGGTGTTTGGACCGTGTTTGTTGAAGATCGGGTTTGAATTGTTGTTGATTTACTTGGTTTGAGTTTGGAGAGGTTTTTGCTGACTTGCTTAACTTCACAATAACTTGGTACCTTGTAGTTTTAGGAATTTTAACGCTTCTCGTCTAACTAAGTGTTCTTTCACCCTTTTTGTGATCTCAGATTTGTTTAATTTCTGTGATTTTGATTCTTTTTTATATTTTGTGGTAAAATTTCGGGGACATGAGTATCTTTGTGCACTACAACTTTCAATTTTATTTTCCCTTGGGGTTAGTTTATGTATACAAACCGAAGTGACTTCGGTATAGTTGTTTCTCGGTTCCATTATTTTCGTGATTGATTCACGCACTCTGGCAAGTGGCAAGCGAAGACCGAGCCTGCAAGAAATCCTAGATGCCTGGTCAATATGTTATGCGAACACCATATTAAATAGAACAAATCCACTTACTTCCTTATGGAATGGGTACTATATTTTCAGCTATCATAAAACTTAGAGACATGAAAATTTCCTTAAAGCTTCTTTAATTTTGTTGATAAGATAGTCTTATTGCTACCAAGAAAAAAAATAAAGGAAAAAAAAAAGACTGGCAGGAACCTACAAAAAAGACAATGGAAGGAGGATTACAAAAGGCTACACAATCCATTTAGTTAAAAAGAAGGAAGAATACCGTTATTTGGTTTATTCTAAAGAAATGAACTCGAACTCTGATCATTTGCCTGTAACCCAGGTATAATCAATAACCTGCAAAGTTGCTCCAAAGTGACAAGACAATAGAGTGGGTAATGTGCGTAAAGGTGGTCACGGTTCTCATCTCTTGACTGTAAAATACGTCTTTGAAGTGGTAAAGATATGCGGGCCCCCTTTTTATATCATCGTTGCTAGCTACTAGAAGTTCCCCATATGCACTCCAGCCTCTCTCCTATACATGCACGCATGCATGTCTATAGGTAGGCAAAAAGTAGTTCCATTGGAAAGAAAATTGCAAGAAGGAACGGATTAGCATTCCAGTCAACAAATGAAAAATTTTACAAAAACCATACTTGGTCTAAAGGGGCCCTATAATCTTTTAGCACTCGTGATAATAAACTTATACGATGCATTGATAGCCTCAAATGCTTTTGCTTTCCAGCCACCACAGTATTTTGAACATTGGCACCAGTGGATTATTATCTCCCTGTTGATGTAATTTTTTGGTACTCTTGTGTTTCTCATATTTCTCTGTTTCCTTTCCCAGATTTCGTTCTAAATTTTGTTTTAAGCTTTAAATGCTTACTCTAAATTCTCTTGCTCGATACTATAACAATTTTAAGTTAGTGACTCTTAATTATGTCTGTTATAAGAGAGGATCTTCTCCTTTAACAGGATGATATACGTAGGGAGGCTCAAACAATGAGTTTGATAGATCATCCGAACCTTGTAAGGGCTTATTGTTCATTTGTTGTTGAACGAAACCTTTGGGTTGTCATGCCATTCATGGCAGAGGGTTCTTGTTTGCACCTAATAAAGACAGCATACTCAGATGGATTTGAAGAGGTTGCTATTGGTTCTATCCTGAAAGAAACTCTT